CAGTCAATGGGCCACGGGGAACGGTGTCAAACCGTCACAATTTGCAACCTATTTGGGATATAACACAGTCTGCTTTCTATGTATTTATTTAAATAATACACGCTCTACACAATAGCGAGCAAACAAGTTGGTTTTCAGGTGAATAATGATCGAATTAACACAACACATCATCATGACCTCATGGCCTGAAAAACCGAGCTACGCAATTCTCCCGAAACAGTGAAGAGCAGGTAGATGGCGCCGAATTAGCAGGGATTCAGGAGAGACTGAGGTCCTTGGCGAATATTTTTGGTGACAAAAGTCCCGGTACTCAAGACGGAAAGTGATTGATTTACTTGCCTCCAATGAGGTTTCGGCGTGTCGGATAATTTTGTACGCTTAGATCTGTTGGTTAGGTGTGAACATATGCGCCAACACATCATTCGCCACTGTAATAGCTAATGCCCTCACGGCCAATTTTATTGTCACTTTTGAGCTCTCTCAGGCAACTTAATGGACGCCTATTCAGTTTGTCATACTCGGCACGAATCAGTGAAGTCAGCAGAAATAAATAATTAACTTAGGAAGCTAACTGCATTCGGAATATCTCAATAGCACCGTTGCAGTTCCTTAACTTCACTTCTGACACCCCTTTCTCTTGAACGATGGCGGTAGATAGAAACGCTTGTATCCCATTTAAGCCCAACTTTGTCCTCGTTTTTTCAGACGCAGAAAATCGGCATATGAAAAGAGTATCCGGTTTGTAATGCAATAGTCGCTTCGGAGTGTGTGTTTTGTCGATCCCTGAAGGCAACTCGGTAGAATCCGTGTGATCACAATGCATTATCATGTTTGGAGTAGAAAGGAACATGGTACAGGTGCGATGCGCCCATTTCTTGCAGAATTGCCTAATACATGTGCTCAGCCGTGTCCCACTTGCTACACAGAGCGAACCTTGGTTTTGCTGGGAACGAAATGGACCAGCAGCTAAGGTGAAAAGTGCTGGGGTCGCATATTATTCATCGATCGTCAAGGGGAACAATACTCTGTAAGATGTTGCTTCCAAGCTTTGCCTGTCGTGACCCGGTAGCCAAAGGAGCAGAGGTTTCGACTAATCTTCCAATTGTCCAAGGTACGATGCGTGATGTGTCCACCTATTGTGATCCGATAAGGCCGAAACGCCTCGGGGTATTCTAGATTGCCGGCCGGTAACACCCCATTTCCCCGTTGCTTCCTTGCTAAGCGCCTGAAATTAGGAAGCAAGAGGAAATCGGTTGTTGTCCGCCCGAAAAGACGGCAGTCCATGACACGTTTTGATGTCATCACATCTCCTCAGATCGAGATAGCAGGCATCGAACCCCGGAACATTGGAATGTCAGTCATGACCTCTACCCCCAAGCCAAAGGCTCACGACGGGCAACGCTGTCCGTCTCGCTATCTGATAAGCTGTAATAACATCGAAACGCCACACGGGATGCAATGTTTTCAGGCGAACAGGACCCAATTTCCTTGTGCTTCAACAGCTACGGTCCTAGTGGTCTAAGGGCCAAGGTTCCCTTCATTGGGAATTACGGTCAACTTTGTGATTGCACGTCGCAATCCATCCACACAACGAGTACTAAAAATTAACCCTCCAATCCGCTCGTCGTTATCTTCTAATGCCAGCAAAATCGCGTTGGCTTAGCTTTCAGTTGTGGCACGAAATTCGTTGGCATAGCCACCGCGGTTCGCTTGATTCAAAACACATTAGCACGCCGAGGAAATTCCGTGTAGAGGGGCTGTGAGTCTTCTCCTTCAACTTTACGATAAAACCAAACAATAACCCGTCGCATTAGATGCTGTACCATAGTCGATTGGTATATATGATTATAGAAAGTTAACACTCTCTCACTCGAAAGTGTGCTTTCTGAACCACCAGCGGTAACATCACACTGACTTTATTCCGTGGAAAAATTGACTCTCAACACTATTTTTGTAGAAGGATAGTTTTAACGTGATTCTTATTTGATTCGTATGTACCTTCAGACTGGCGACCGTCAACTATCGTACCCATCTTCAAGAAGGTTCTGCGAATTTTGTGTGAAAATCATCGAGGCATCAGCCCTGTTTCCCACATGAATGTGTGTATTCGGATCAGACCACTCAGTTATGCTCTATCTCCCATTGTCGAGGGATATACATTAAATAACTTATTTACTTTTAACCGTTTATCTTGGTTGGAGTTCACAAATATTTTCATTCGCAACGTTAGCGTTATTATTATTATTCTTACTAGTGAATTTAATTGTGAATAGCTCTACTTGGCTTGCTTTCCTAATTTTTTCTGTAGTTTACTTGTCTTTCACTCGTTCAGCCCTGTGCGACCAATGTTTCACTTATCGCTTTTTCGTCTGCCGCTATCACACCGTTTAATGCTCACTTTGGTATAGTTTATCTGCAACGCTTCACTATGGGCTTACTTCTCGGTAGTTTCTGTACATCCTCAGGACAGCTAATCCTGTAGATTAACCGCAACCTCAGCGTGCACCATAGCTGTACAGTCAGACAAATGATTGCCTGTCACGGTGTCTTGCCTTGACAGTTTTGTCTTGTAAACCCCCTACCGTGGGATGAAATCTTCGTGCCCTCACCCACAAATGTCACTGAAGGTGCTTTACGTATGAACCGATCGAGAATCGCACATTGATTGCGCGAGTTGTGCTATTCAACCCAAAGTCAGTGATATAGATTTGTGTGTATAAATAGAAGTTAATTATATCGATACGCAGTCAGACCACCATATTAGGCCCGGAAAAGTACTATACAGCATTCTCATCTTTTCAGGAATCTTCAGCAGCGCGCATTTTATCCTATCCCTGTGGAGTTTGAACCCGCCAAGCAACTGTTACCAGTCTGCGGTCGAGACCACTGAGCTAGGGGGACGTCAACGACCATCGTACCTAAGTTACTAGATGTTATATAGTGCCGCTCCCTATCCACTGACTTGCACGTTACTGTCATGCAGAGGACATGGTATCCCTCTCAACCTAGCGGTAAACTTAACAAAGTTAAGGTGCCAGTTAACATATGTATGGTATGTATCTGACTGAATCCAGATATGATGAAACTCTACTTATTTCATTCAACTCCCTTGTAACCAGTTCCGTGTGTCTTGTGAATTGCACGCAAGCTGTCTTCGTATCTCGGTGGACTTAAATGGTTCGAGCATTTCCCACGAGTATTTCGACTGCATTGATTTGCCGATTGGTAGGTTGTCCATCTCCCTTCTCTAACTTGTGAGTGTGACAGAATACAATTCCAGCGTCATACACATGGGCTAAGCGAATACCCCTAGACAACCGTTTAGATTGGTTTGATGAATGCGCACGTTTCTGTCGTCATTTTTGCGTCCTAGTGACAGCCAAGTCCGTGAACTTCCGTCTCACATCCTTTTTAAGGCTCTTAAGTAACCGTCGTTCCCGTCCAGATGCCTCACAGTATAATTTTCCGATTTATATTGAGTATACAAGCCACCTATTTTCCTTTGTAGGCACAAGCTCCTTGTGGCTGTGCGCAATCGTAACGAAAAGAACATCCGAAAACGAATACAATAAGGTGCAGCCTGAGTATATTGCCGGAGAGAAGCACGACCAGGAACATCGGTTTCCTGTTCGATCTGTGAAAAGGATGTGAGCAAACTAGGTTTGGTTGGGGAACTCAGAGTGCAGAGTTCAGTTAAGAAACCACCTGACTTCATAGTAGCGGAAATGAGCAGCACTGCAGAAAGGGACAGGAAACTTGAATAAGCAGATAAATCCCACATATTTAGGCAAAGGGGACAGGAAGATGAATTATCTCATCTAAATAAGAGGTCAAAAGACGGACAAAATCTGTCAGGCGCGGGAGCGTCATTAAACTGTTTCTTGTACCACGCTGTTTGAGGTCTTCCATCAATTATGGGCGTATGCGATGCTCTATTCAGAGTGACGAAATACGTCAAATATGCGTCATTTCTGAGCTGTACTGAATCATAGAACAGTAGCCATGAGAAGTCATCTAAGGGAGCTCTGCTTTACCAACAACGCACGCAATGGGTTAATCTACCTCAATAGTTGAGTGATGCTTCTAAGGTATTGCTGATTGAAGCCAACTAGTCTCTTTGATGTCCTCTCCAAACATGCTCTGTGCTACTGACTGTGTGGTCTGCAACGACATTTCCACGACTTATATCCCATATGCTAGTATCCTGTCATCGTGATTAGGCATTGTGAAAGCTTCCACGTAAATGCAACTAAATGAACCGATTGACCACATTTTGGTGTCCTCAGGTAACTGCACAAAGACGGTGTTAGCTTGAAAACACAGATCCGTTTAGATGGTCAACTTAAAGTAAACGTTGCCTGGATGGATTGCGACACGCCATCTCAAAATGATGAGATGTAATAACATCGAAACACGTCATGGAGTGCAGTGTTTTTTGGAGGGTAACACCCCATTTCCTTCTGCTCTACAGATCCATTTGTTCGACGGCCACATGGAATATATAACAATGTTAAGTCGTTGTTTCTCCGTGGTTTTAGAACCGAAATATTCTAATGACCAGTCATCAATCAGGGGGCAATGATTAGGTGGTTGAACAGCATTTAGACATTGTCACCCCTTGTATTGAACGCGACAGTTGCATTCTTAGCGTTTAGTTGAGGAAAATGATTCCGCATTTAAACACTTCTTCACATGTAGACCTCACTGCGTGTGCACAGGGATTAATTGTGTCTCAGTGTTCGACTCGTGCGAACATTATCAAAGACGAAAGCCCTACTTAATTTTTAGTATTTCAACCACGTATGCACTCTGTAGCGGAGGTCGGAGCGGATAGTTTCGCTACATTTAGTGATATAATACCATAGGCAATTTGCGTCTTCATAGTACAAAGCTTAGTAAGTTGGTGTAATACGAGATTTGCAGTGTGCCCAACTACTGATGGGTACTACCTTCGCTTCGCCTACTTGTAAGCCGCCATGGCACCTTACAAACACACTTACTTCAAGTCGCGCGGTCGCAGGGGAATTTGAGCGATATAGTCCTCTTGAGATGTTCATTGAACGATCCATCTCCTCCATTTGGGCAACTGCCATTGCGGATTTCTTTATGCACACCGAGAGACGCGTACGGCAATGGGCGAATGAAGTACGACGACGAGTAGTTTACGGCGTCCACGATGGGATAAGCGAAGGCGAAAAGGAGATGCGCGAGGTCGCGGTTCACGTTTTAGTGATCCTACGTATCTCTCAAAAATGCGTCTTCTCTGCTATCAGTCTCCAAACTTGCATACACAGTCGCTTCGGATTGCCAACGTAGGTGGTTCCAGAAGGGTGATTGACAAATTGTAAGACACACTTGACCCTTCCAGGCCCCTACAATTCTTGCGTTTTGCTCCAGTGTCTATACTATAGAATAGGCATTCATTTGACCCCTTTGCTAGACACCTACTGTGAGGAGGAATGGGAGCAAAAACCCATCTGATGACTGGCCCAGCTGTCATTCGGCACAGTGCAAGCACCAATGGTGCGCCTTCCGGATGGTTGCATCGCAAACCGTTCCGCAACGCAGTGAAAGGTAGGACAGACATTCAGCTAGACTGTGGTTACCCCATCACCCACGCACAATGCATCAATGTAGAGTGTGTTCTGTTGTGGGGTTCATTAGTCGTTTTCCTTGATCGATGCAACACTGCCCGATTCGAATGCAACCTTGGGGGTCGGAACACGGCGTGCCAATTACGCGCCTAGTGACCTGGATTTCACACCGAAAATCGGACAAACACTTCAATTTTTTCACTTCGAAACGTCTACCAACGGGAAACCTAAGTCACAAAATATTGAAAAAAGGTTGTATTACTAGCCAACACTATTCAAATTAGAGCATGATTTTTCAGTAGCATAACAATGAACAAAGTCCCAGGCCAGATAGCTCCAAATCAGGATATCGCCATGAGTTTGGATTCTTGTTACCCAGATGTCCGTTGACGTAGGGCTAGGAATGAGTCATTCGCTAACGCACACTTGGACACGGTCAGGTGCCCACTTGTTACTCAACTGGGAATTAGGCCAAATTTAGCGGATTTGCGGTATATCTGATATGTCTTGCTATGTAAGCTATGTTGCGTTGCCGTCGAGTCAAATGGAAAGTAATCTCCCAGTTAGAATCCAAATCCTCCTGAAGACCACATAGCGCTTCTAATCGAATAGACGATCTGATTTAACTAATTTACATACTCGATCATAGTGTCATTACTACGTTGGTAAGCAAGACTGGACAAGGCACCGTGTCACCAGAATTGGACGCTTGACAAGAAAACTACATCTCAGGATGTATGACGTCCTACCGGAGCTTCGAGAGGATAATTTATCGCTATCTGTAAGCTTTCGACCTGAGAAAAAGGGAATGAGTGGTGGGAACTTGAAGCATCGCTATGTAATCGGTGTCCACGTCACTGAACGACTGTGTTTTTCATCGGTTCCTGGACCTGAGATACGATCTATTCACGTGCAAGCCAGTTAGGGCCTAGAAAACAGGTTTATTAAGATTTTCCTATCGGTTAACTTCACGATCCTGCTCAGAAACAGTAAAAACATAAAGGAGCACCATTAGTTTACCAATTTTTCAAAGTATGACGGATTACCCAAGTTCCTTACACCTTTCTACCGTTAGCTGAACGGTGCGTATTGCTTTAACCCCCTACTGCACGGAGCAGCTAATTTTTGTCCAAATGAACTATAATTTTAGATTATGCATATTAGCAGCATTGAAATGAAGGGTATGGATACAATTTTGCAAGTAGTTTTATATTTGAGTCTTGATTAAAGTATGTTGCCTGAGGGGAACAGTGCGCATTGGTGGTTGGATCAATGTCCTAAATGAAAGTCTGGCAAACTCAACATACAGATCACATGAAAATCTATGTGTACTTGGCACAAAGACACATCCTTGAATGGAGAAAAATATACTTGACTGAATCAACTCAAAAAATGATAACAAAATATATGAACAATATGAACAATATATGAACACGAACGGTACTCATAGAAAAATTTGCTAGATGATGTCAAACAGAGGTATACAGCAGACTTTCTGCATTGCGATTTTGGGTTACCTTTACACCCAAGTCGTTTGCAGTGGCCTTTTTCCCCCATGAAAACCGGCATATGGGTTGTTCTGTCAGTTCTGACAGGTTTCTGAGGAACGGGTGCTATTGACCCACGCTTGGCTTTCAGTCGGAGCTTGTTCTCTATGTCCGACGAATGGCGTACCTCGTTTCATTGGCTTGTTGGCCCTCAAAATGTAGTCAGCAAATGACAGTTTGAAGGTGAGGAAGGACAAATGGTCTTTCTAAACACCTACTGTTTCCTTTCTCCAGTACACTCGCCATGTCTGCACTAAAGTTGTGTCCAGAAGATGCCAAATTATTCTGTGCTACCACTTCTTTGACCTGACTGGAATTCGATAGAGAGCTAAAAGCAAGTCCAGGGTATCTACTCCAACCAAGAATTTATTGTATGTCGTCACATCATCATCATCATCATACACGTTAGCTAGAGGTGGGGAACACCTCAGCTACTGTGCCGCAATACAGAAAAAAGGAGAAAAAAAGCAACTGGTGCAAGCTGGCTGAGCTACCGGTAATGGATGGGCATCGTTCCGGTAAGCTACCAGCCGGCTGCTTTGCACCCAAAAAAATTAATATGCAAAATTATATAAGGCTAAATAATGAGATCGTGATTGGAGCGGGAGGCTAAGAGGGATGGGGTGGGACAAAGAAACTCACAGCACGAACGCCACTGAGGTCGGCTCCTAGCCATATCAGCAAGTGTGTCCAACCAAACGTGTTCATCGTCCTTTGAACCCCAACCAGGGAGCCGAGACGCTCCAACCGAGGCCAGCTCAGAAGTGAGGGCCTTCATTCCTCTCGACCAAGTCATCGCTTGGCCACCCCTCCTCTTCTTCCGTATGTCGTCACAACAGAAGGACAATCCACCTGGACTTACGCACACTTTTTCTTGTCCCAACGCTGAACTTGAGTTGTTGGCACAATACTGTCATACGTTGTTAACAATGTTACACATTTGTTATCAAACCATTTAATGGTCCTGACATTAACATTATCTATGCTAGCAGTACAAACAACAGTATCAGAAGGAATTTGGCAGCTCATTAAACGGTTGGTCCGAACAGTGCCAACACATGTAATCTGATACCTGTTCCGCAGACGAACAGTGAGTGGTGTGCCAGTAAACCAATTGTCAAAGTATACCTTATGCTATCGTTCTCGATGGATTGATGCCAGTAGCCTTAGGATGATATTGCCAGAAGCCTTCAATTCTGGCTCACCCTCCAGAGGATCAATACGCCCATCCACTCTTGACTGGACATACATATTTTATTTCCCCTTCTTGGGCTTCTTTGGGCTATAGCTTTTAAAGCTGGGTTTACGTATGAAAGGTACATCCTGCCCGTCGTTGCTCAGCCACTCATCAGGTAGAGTGGTGTTGAATACCACTTTAAGGGTTTGAAACAGCCGTTTACTTTTGTACAGGTTGTCTGTGTTAGGAACAGGCATTGCCAGGTTGTCATTACAATGCAGGTTGTTTTGTATTGCTTCAACTCATTTTATGGTCATAGTATCTGTCATCTTTGGATGGCGAAACTTTTTGTTCCAGTCCAGACGTATGTTATGTATTCGAACAACGCTCATTATGTATGGAATACCTATAAATTGTTTCAGCTCTCTGATTGTTGTACTGAGCGGTAAGCTCGTGTTCTTTTGAACAGAATGCTTATTTGATTCTTCAACCAGATGCTGTATCAGGTCTAGTGTGAGAATTTTTTCCAAGTATTCATGAGGCTCACTTGTGGTATTTGTTGATCGTCAACATCACTGAGCGGGAGCTCAATATGAAGAATATTCCTGACTTCTCTCTCTCACCATACAAGTCTGCGCAAAGTGCCTTGAACTCCCTAGAGGTCAGTCAATTCATCGGGATCGGCATTGTGATCGGAGTCAGTGTCTGAAGCAGACGGATCAGAAAAAAACCATGATTAAAATAAATTCAATATAAATAAACTATATGACGCTGGTTAAAAAAGTATAATAAACCAGTGAAAATAGAAAAAAAACATTTATAATAGTCACAATCACATTGCTTTATAATGTTGAATTCTATGAAAAAATAAAAATAAAATTAGGAAAACAAAACTGATAGGAAACACAATAAAAGCAATTTGGAAATCTCACCGGGATGAGTGGTTGCTTCTGACATGTAGTTATCAGTATAAGATTATATTTCACTGTCCACAGACTCAGCAGGCAATAGTCGGACAAGAACATCCCCTCAAGTCTTGATTTGGTGACAGGATCTTTACAGGATCCGTATGTTTCTGTAGAGAAATTACGACTTTTACAGTAAAGTTGAAAATATTCCAATAGGTTTCGAACATCAAGTAAACATAAATTTAAAAGAGAAACGGAGCACATAAATTAGTGTCATATAGTAATGTTAACAGTCAGAGACTGAGATGATATTCGAACAATCAGTGCACCCTTAATAGCATAGGGGTGCTTTCAGACGACACATGCATTCACAGCCATTAACTACTAACTAACTTCACATACTTTTGTTTTCAGTACTGCAGATGAAATTTATAATGACTTTCCAAATGTAAGATAATGTTATTTTCGACAACTTGCCCTTTAGTAGCGTGAAATAAGTAAAGAAAATGTCTTATCCTCAGCTTGCGGATTTCCCTTCAATTCACGCCTCTGTTTCGGAATTCGAAAGACGATTTAGTGAGCAAACCGAACGACATACAATCTAAATAAACCGTAAATATCTGTTCTATCAAGGGAAATTACTCTTAATATGAACAACTTTGCGAAAAGAAATTGGCGGACAATTTGCTGGTATGTATTTTTGTTCGTCGCAATCATCCGACAATTCAGTTATGTCGACCAGCTGTCCGGAAAAGCACCAGACGGCCGTTTCGCCCTATTGGGGCTCATCAGTGGTGCGCATCCTTCGGTTCTCTGCGGAGGATCGAACCCATGACTGCTAGTGGCTCTTGCCAACTAGCCCGCAGCTTATGCAACTGCGCCATGGAGGACGGTATCTGACGATCGTGAATTGTTAGCTAAATGCGATATAGCCCGACGCATCCTCCACTGCCATGCATTCACCTGCCATCCTATTTCATTTATTTTGCCCAAACAGGGATTGCTACACTGTTTAACTTCAAGTATTTTGAGCAGATTTTAGTTGCATGCTCATTTTCGAGGAACGTCGTTGTATGGGGCAACGGGTTTGATATAAAATTTCGGTTTAACTTGATTTGGTTCACCCACCAACTCTCGGCGTTTGTTTAGAGGCCGGCTTCAATATCCATGGTTGACCAACAAACGTGATGCGATTACTGAGCAATCGAGTTGCTTT